CTTTGCTCCCTGTCTCCTAGTGGCAATTAGGGAGACCTCTTCAGAGGGCTAATATTGTAGATAATTAAGTTAGTTAAAAATGAATAGACAGAGAGATTAGGCCCTTGAGGGAGTGAGTGCAGAAGATGAAAACACATCAAAATTGCAGCTGGAGGTGAATCTGAAGAGGCGCAGGCCAACAGACAGTCCTGGGAGCCCCTTTAGAGAAAAACAGCAACTTGAGATTATATTGTAATTAGTGCCATCCGGTCCAATAAGCCCTGATAAGCATCAGAGGCATAGGTTGGTGACCAGAACATCTAAACCCACATTCCATTGCCTTTCCAAGAATGCCTTTGTCTTTTTACAGTTAGAAGTTATAGATAAGCAAACATTAATGATGCTCATGATATACCTTTGCTAATTTCGTCATTTCCCTATTGGATCAATATTAGTTAAGTGACTATACTTGCAATCCTATTGGTTGATTTTAGTTTGACCCACACTGTGACTTTTCTGCACAAAATACTCTTGACAAGAGACTTAGTGGCAACCCACTTTGGACCCCGCTTATAATTCTAGGAGCTAGTTGTATTCTTCTTAATTCTAATAAAACTCTCCTAATCTCCTTCTTTGGTTTGCAAATTCATTCCTGAATGTTGTGAGACTATAGGCTCGACACATCAGATGTTCAAAGGGTTGGGAATTAATTTCCCCACAATAATAGAATATAAAAATACAAAGCAATATTCAAAAAATGCTGACAATACAGTCCACTGTAGACTACTGACTTTTTTCCCCATGACACTCTGGCTGATTTGAGCTGTGGTTTGCAATCACTGCCCAGCATTAAACCAGGATGTTGTATGGCATATCAGAAGTCTGGGAAAAGATACAACTTAAAAGGCTGGATTTTACTGAATACTCATGATATTGTAGTATCATAAATTTGGAAAACTGTTAAGTCAAGCCATCGCAAGTTGAGGACCATCTGTAAGTAGTTCTTTTCCAACACTAGAAAGTGTGTTTTGAAATTTAAAATGTTATGGCTACCAAGCGAGAAACAAAATAAACTCTACTCTGTATTCTCAGTTTAACATAATTTAACATAAAATGTTTTATGATATACTTAGGAATCTTAGTTTCTGTTATGTGGATCATAGTGGCTCTAGCGTTGGATTCAGCTGTGTTGATTCTCACTTCAACTGCCTGTCTAGCAGAGCCTTCACCCTGTTGAATATTTTGGAGGTTGCACTGCCTTCCTGGGGCTCAAATAGTATCACAGGTAGACTGCTCAGGTCTCCTGTATCTCTCATATTAACCGAAGTTATCAAAAAAAGGGGCAGGAATCAAAGCAATAAAATGGCAAAAGTGTAAGGAAATTTTCCTGTTTAACCAAAGTTTAATAGGTATGTCACTCTGAAACACAGGAATGAGGTGAAATCTCATTTTCGAGTTTATTTTCCCTCATGTTCTTATAATGTGATACAGTTATGCTAATTAGTTCATGCTCAAATAATGTCCCTCAGGAAAATTACAAATTAGAGACAAAACAGAATGGAAATGATAATTGCTTTATGTCTACTACTGGTCAGACTCTATGTAGCAGCATGTTTCATTTTCTGTTTGAATCCTCACATAAGTTCTTGGGTAGGGCACTGTCTTCTAAATATATGTAATTTTTCAGCGGAATTTCAGTCACAGTCTACATGCTGCCTCACAGTCTGCTAATACAAAATATGCTTCATTGCTTTGTTTGTTCACTTCTTATAGTTGCCTGGAAAAAATGTAGGCTATTTGGAAACCGCCATCTTGTGACCAGAACCAGAACTGCCACCACCATGTCCTGTGGGAGAAGGGTGGGAACTTCATCTTGCCAGCCAGCAGCTTTCTCAAGCTTCTATAATACACCATACTTCAACTCAGAGCTTTGTTATGCATTACATAAAAAATGGTACCCAAGTGTTTTCAGTTGCAATGGTCTGATTATAAAAAAAATTGCATGCTTACTAAAAATTGAAAATATGAGCAAGAAAATAAATGCACAGTTTTGGAAAGTCAAAATTATTATTTTCTGCATATCTTTTCATCTTTCCCCTTAACAGATATGTGTGTATGTACGCCATTTCAAAGAAACTTTTTTACCCTACTCAGCCTCACAGTTTGAACATTTTTCCATATTAATAAGTATTTTCAATGGGATCCTTTAATGAATCAATTCAAATACAATGTCATCTTAACTTTGCAGCATTTTATCTTAATCTTTTTTCTGATTGTTAGAAAGTTACTAAATATATACAAAAGATTATTTTTAAATGGAGATAGCAAAGCCATCAGGTTACACATCATTTTTAAAAATGTGGCTATACGTACTTTATTAATAGTTTTTCTTTCAGTGAAATAATTTGCTACTTGCCCTTGTGCAATTTGCTTTTTTTCACCTAATACTACTTGAAAGGGAACTTTTCAATTCACTACAAGTTCATATTTTTTTCAACTATGTAAACATTGCTTTGTTTGGCAGTATCATTCCATCTATTACCTTTGTCAAAATAAACCAAATACTGTTTTGATCTCATTTTTAAACGCAGACTATGTAGGAGAGCCATGGTTCTAGTTGACCACAGCTGTACCTGTGGTCGAAAGGATGAGTGGCATGGAACACACACGTAGGCAGTAGGAAACACTGCAACCGGGATACCCAATCACAAGATCTAGGAATAACTTAATAATCAGCAAAAGCCAAGGAGAGTATGAAAGCATGCTTGTGTGGGTCTATGACCATTCACATGTTTTCAACAAAATGGGTATGCTGTTTAACACCACTTCCCTCTTCTAATTTTAAAAAAAGATCATATCATAGGAGGATCAATTCTAAAAATTGTGAATCCAGTTTAAAAGTGATTTTAAAATAACAGTAATTTGAACAACAGGAAATGCTGGCTTTTAACAAGGAATCTAGATACTCAGAAATGCTGATTGTGGACAGGGAGTCTAGTTCCCCCATAAGGTAAACATCTATTTTTATTTAGAAGAGTTATTTCTCAACAACATACCTGAATCGCTTTTCATGGTCGTGTACCTTTATATTTGTGTTTGCGTCGATTGCTTTACATATTTACATCTTTCCATCAGTTATTTTGGGTAGAATATAATGTTTAAACAAAATATAATAAAAGCTGTACTGAGGATAGAAACATGGAATGCCATGTAAAAAATTAACAAGAAAAGCATGCCTCACTTAAGTCTTAATTTAGAATCTGTAAGCTGATCACCTATTCCCACGCTGTGGACTTTAAAAATGTCAGGAGAAACAAAAATTCCAGAGGATTTATTCTGTCCCAGTAACAGCAATTCGACCAAAATCATGTTCCATTCCCCCTCTCCCGGGCAACAATCTCCATCTTTTTTAGCTTAACCCCACGGCCGGCCCGAAGAAATTCCCAGAAAATAAGTAGCTTTAAGACAGCCTTTACCTTGAAGCTTCTCTTCAGCTGCAGCCTTGTGAAATGCAGCCTCTCCCCAAAACTGGCCCGGCACGGCTTACTTCCCAGCTGTTCGCAAAAGGCTCCACCCTCTCCAGGGAAGGGGAAAGCAAGGAGCCTTTCTCTCAATTACAGCGGAGAGAATTGCCAAGTTAAACTGCAATTCATTTTTAAGGCACTAAGAAGCAGAACAGCAACACTATCCTTTAATTTATATTCAATCCTTTAGATGAGCGATTTTCAAAACAAAAGTAGAAATGCCACTATCGTATAAGAGACTTGGTTACGATTATCTAGTTAAGATTATCTAGTTAAGACTGTCTATATCATA